ACAGAAATGAATTTAACAGAAAATATCAGAGCACATCGTCACTTGAAGCTTGTTGGGTATGTGAAGCAATACCCACGTAAAAAGAATTTTTTACCAAAGGGATCTTCCTTGTCTGTTGTCTCCTTTAATGTTTTTAACAAACACATTGAAGGCTTGTTTATCTGATCTACAATTTCAAAGCTGAGCGGCACAGCTAACATGTCAGATGGCCAAATCAGGATCATCAAGAATGTGAACTCACTTGAAGATGGGTAGGAACTATAAGATGAAATCTTAACAGTAGGGCATACAAAAAATCTCACATTTTTCTTCCAAAAATTGACTATGTAAGTGCATAACGGGAAAGTGATTTGACAGTAGATCATGTGAAAAAGACCTGGAGCAGTTAGCTGGAGTGAGTTCCACATGAACGAGTGGTATAGTGAGAAGAGTGACATGTCCCTAAAAAGAGAAGTCAATACTCCTACTCAATTCAGCATTGCTATTACCACATACTGAATGCTTTGCCCAGATGTGGCTGCCGCATCATGAGGGCATGTAAAGTCATGATGGCAAAGGGGCTGAAATCCAGGAGCACCTGAGTGTGAAATGAGATGCCCTGATGCCTTTATGAGCTTCCTATCTCGACAGGACAATTGGGTGAAAGGTGCCAGCCAGTTCTGTGTGGTCTGGAATAGCAGTTTGGGCCTGTCATTGATGGGAAGGAGATACAGGGACAGTTTCAGCTTAATTTTATGAAGCTCTACTATAAAGGAAATTGGGTACCAAAGGAATGGGAGGAAGTTCTCCCTTAGAGATATTAAGAAGCTCAAAGTCCACCTACCTGACAGAGGACCCCTGCCTAGGGAATGTGTGTGTTGGGAGAGGTGGAGGGAACGGTGTGTTCAGTAGGAAACAGAATAGTTCCAAACACTGGTTGATCATCAGAATCACCACTATTACTTTTTAAAAAATACAGATTCCAGCCCCACATCAGATCTGCTGAATCAAAATCCCAAGGGTGTGCTTAAAGAATCTGTATTTTTTTGAAGTTCACCAGGCAGATTGTTCTAGATTAAGAGACTAGACACAGTGATAAGAACCTTGATTGAAACCTGGATTTTTTTTTTTAAAAGTAAAAAAGACATTTTGGAACACCTTGGCAAATTTTAATAGGGACTGTTTATTAGATGATATTGACTCCTTGGTAATTTTCTTAGATGTAATAATATATTTTTAAAATATAGGGGAATATCCTTTTCTTAGGTAACACAAGCTGAAATATTAAAAAGTGAAGTGTCATGTCTCCAATGTTTTTTTTAAACAATGAATTACTTTTAAATGGCTCAAGAAAAAAAGAAAGCAAATGAGACAAAACATTGGTGGAGGGAACAATTATTATGCTCTTCTTTCAACTTTTCTGTAGGCTTAAAATTTCTCAAAATAAAGGTGGGAGGAAAAATTAAGCTATGAAGGTAATCTGATGTGAGCCAAACATGAGGCCCACTGGACAAGGTAACCTCTGTTGTTCTAGCCTAAGAGCCTGGAGACTATATCTGAGGCTGACTGCATTCTTCGTGCCTTATAGAACTGAATGAAGTTCTATACTGGTGGTGTCACAGTTGAAACCGAGTCTTGTGGTGTGACATTAGGCCACAGTGACCCCTAGAGGTACTCTATACACTCAGGGGCATTCCAACCCCTAGGGGCATGTTCAGGAACACGAAAGAGAAGCTCATCCCCACTGTCCCAAATTAATAGGGCCCACATCAAAACGCAGTTCATCCTGCCTGGCGCTCCCTGATGACCTGAGGGTTTGTCCCTGAAGGTGGGGCTGGACTACGAAATGGAACACTGGATCCCTGATAGACAATCTCCAAAAACGACATCCAGAAAAGCAGGCCAGATTGAGAGTCACGGCATGGAGGCAGGCAGAAGCAGGAGCCATATCTGATGCAAGGCCACCCCTGCCCAGCTCTACTAGAATGAACCAGAATGAAAATCCAGGAGGAACACAGAGGTGTGCTGGGAGGGCCCAGAAGAGGGAAGAGCACATAAGGTATATATCGCGGTGAGCAGGAAACAGAACAGCAGAGTCTGTGCTCAGAGATAGGTTCAAAGACGGGCTGCTAATGGGCAGTTTAGAATTCCTGGAGTTAATGTCAATGAGACTTACTTACTCACAAGGATGGGGCCAGGAGACACAGGTGACATGGAAATACTCAGGATCATTGCAAGTGTAGGGCTGCGGGCCAAGCCCACCTCTGCGGGAAGCCATTCCGTCAAGATCAGACTGTCTCTCCTGCTGGGCTCTAATCAAAGTCTTCAAGAAAGGATATTAGTTTTCAATTTTTTGAAGGTCAAGGTGCAAGGGCAGAAATGTTAGCAGGTATTTAAGGGGCTGACATACCAATTCTCCTAACCTTTGTGACTTGTGTAAGGTCCACCTTTGCTACATACATCAGTGAAAGAGCTTTAATCCAGAGACTGAAAAGTTTGGAGTCACACAATAAAAATGTCATTGGAGGTGAAAAAAGATTAGGGAGTAAGCTCCCTTACCCACAGATGGGGGCATCCAGCAGCAGAGCCTGCCCAGGCTGGCAGTTCCTCAGGAGCAGGCTCTCCTTCAGACCAGGGACTCTGAAGGTAATCAGAACAGAAGGCAGACTCCCAGGTTCAGCCTGAGAATTCAGCTAGACCCAGGGAGGTACCGTCTGGATGGTGAACTGCTCGGGTTTGGTTGGTAATGAGGTGTTTCTCTGCTCAGAAGGATATAAGCAATGCCGGGGAAAGGTCTGGGGATCTGCTGCATGAGTCCACAATCATCAACAGCCACACTGAGGGGGCTGAAGTAATCTGATCCAGAGAAAAATTCTAAGCTCTAACCAATATTTACATTTAAAGTTTGAGGGGATTGTACTAGTCTGTTTCTGTTGCTTATAACAAAATACCTCGAACTAGGTAATTGGTAAGAAAATGAAATTTGCTTACAGTTTCTGAGGTTAGGAAGTCCAAAGTCCAGGAAACACACCTGGTGAAGGCCTTCTTTGATGGTGGCTTCAGAAACACAGGGTATCACATTGTGAGATGGTGGAAGCAGAGAGAGAGATTCGCACGTGCTCTCCTATTAAAGCCCTCAGAACCACACCCACGAACTAGGGCATGGTCCTTATAAACTAATCACTTCTTCAAGGCTCCATCCTTCAATTACCCTAATAGGATTTCCCAACTTCAACAGTTATAGTGGCGATGAAGCTTCAATGACTTTGGGCGGCAATTCAACCCACTGCAGCGACTCTTAATGAAAGTGTCGAGACAACAATTCAATCATCATGGTTGTACACCAACAAAATTTTCACACATAAAAATGAAGACTAGCAGACCACATTTTGTATTACAAGCTCTCACCTCTATTTTTGACAATGACCAGGTAGTATCTTTCATAAGAAATAAAAACCTAAGACACTTTAATTTTTTGATCCAAAAGTCAAGATTCTCTACCATATAGGTAGATGGGAGGTAGACACCTAGAATTTATCCCACATGGCTGCCCCCTCGGGACCCTGGAGAATCACCCAGGCCCCACCATCACCTCTCCATTAAGGAGAGAAAGGAACAGATTTTTGGTCACAGTGACATTTTGGCTCTATATCCCCAAGAAAAGAACTGGCACAAATTAATGGGGAACAGTGTGATAAAACAAAATGGTATTAATCAGGCTACTGTGTTCCGACCCCCAATTTTTCTTTTTTACCCAAATAAAGGAGCAGAACAAGGTCAATCATTATCATCTTATTTTTTTTACCTTAAAGCATTGGCATTTCTGCTAGAGACAAAACAAAAGCACCAAAAATATTGTTCTTGTAATACTACTTGGAAAGACAACAGTGGTATGAGAGATTTAGACAAGTTCTTTTCTTTTTTTTTTTTTTGGCTGCTGGCCAGCATAGGGATCCAAACCCTTGACCCTGGTGTTAAAACACCACGCTCTAACCAACTGAGCTAACTAGCCAGTCTTAGACAAGTTCTTATGCCCCAAAGATATTTTACTGCCTATACTTATGACAGCCCATGAAACGACTCTGTGTAAACGCAAATTTAGAGCTCTGGCTCAGAAAAACAGCCACTATTTCCCCCAGAGATGGTAAATGCCTTCGGACCTTTAGCCGAAAGCACCATCTGCCCTATGCTACCCCGGCAGACAAATAGGCACAGAGGTAAGCGAATCATGAGCTGGTGACTCTGTGGACACATACGCTTCTTAGGTTCCTTAATCTTTAAAACAAAAAGCTCACCTGAAAAGCAAAGAACCCATCTTTTCAGCACCATCTGGTCACTAAAAGAACTGCATCCCTGGATGCAAGCAGGGGTTCCAATAAACCCACAAAGCATTGTCCTCAAACTTTCAAACACTTGCTCTATTTCTTGCTAAGGAGGTTCAAGTCAGAGAAAATTAAGGTCCCTCCAGTTAGTGTAACAGACAAGAAACCAGACCCTTCTTACCAAGCAGGCCTCAGGACCACAGATACCCATGGAAATAGGTATTTCTGAGTCAAAAGCTTCCGTGTCAGGGAAGCTTTGAATCTACCTCAGCTGTCTTTCTTCTCTTACCCCTCTGTCCCTCATACTTTGTAGGTGACTTCTCTGGAAGAGTGAACCTTGAGCAAGATACTAAGCTCTCTAAGCCTCAATTTCCTCGCAGGTAAATTGGGGATAGTGGTAGCTACCTCAGAGAGTCATTGTGAAATAATACATGTATAGCACTGAGCTTAGCACTAAGTGAGCAGAAACTGTAGTTGTTGAATGCTTCTATATAGACAGAAATAGAGGAACAGCAAGCTCATCAGAGAAGAAACAAGAAGCAAACGTAAAGTACAAGTGGACAGGATAATAATACACAGAGCATTTCCAAAAGCTATCTCAAAGACCAAAGGGGGAAAAAACATACAATATTGCGTTCTAAGAAGGTTAGGGGGAAAGTCCTAGGGGGAAAGTACAAGTGGACAGGATAATAATACACAGAGCATTTCCAAAAGCTATCTCAAAGACCAAATCAAGTCCTAGGGGGGAAAAACATACAATATTGCGTTCTAAGAAGGTTAAGCAGATACATCAAAGACAATATATGATTTGAAGGCATGAAATAAACAGTGCCTTCATGTACTATACATCCAGAGAGACACAGTGTCATCTTACAGATACAGTCTTCCTGTTAACACAAGATCAGCCTTCAATCTGCAGGTGTGACAGCTTCCTTAATAATTAGTCCGTAAGTCAGATTAAACATTGACAAAAAAAGATTGCTGATCTTTCATATTTGGGGGAGTTTTTAGTCTTAAATTTAGAATTTCATCATTTCTTTAAAGCAAAGCCACTACAATATATTCACCTGAAGAGGGCATGCCTGCTTCATTACAAATGATATCACATATCTTCTGAGACAAAAATTAGGATGGCTTTCTTGTCTGGGTTTCTGACTGCTCCTTAGCTTTGAGTTCTTCTAGTTTCTTCTCGTAGTGACTCATGAAGTACTCATCTGGTTCAATCCCTGCATTCTTCAAATTTTCCATGACCTTTTCCAGTCTGAGCACTGATCGGGCTCCCTCAATTTTTCTTGTACTCAGGTACAGAGTGAACTCCTGGAAATCCAGAAGCTTACAGGTATCCACAGAGCAGATATTCCTGATATCACTAGTTCTATCCAAATGAGGAAAAAACACTAGTCCTGACAACTTCTCTAGGTCCTGGAGGCTCACTTGGAATTCAGTTAACTGGGGTTGGAAGCCAATGGCTTCATTGGGCACCACAAAGGCCCCCAGTGCCAGCGGTTCAGAAGATACTGGGCTTCTGCGAGCCAGAATCACCTTATAAAGGTGTGAAGGTACTGCCACGTTGTCATCACCAATCACCTGAAAACAAAACAGCCATATTAGTGATGCTAATTTGTGGTAGCAGTTCTTTTTCCTGAAAAGACTTATTAGATGCATTTCTGAAACTGTACTTATAAGCTACCCGACTCCATCCCAATGAATTAAAATTCAGCTGCCAAAGATACTAAACTGAAATACAGATTCACAGAGAAGATGAGTATAAAACAGGTCAATTCTGATCACATTCTTTAAAATAATGCCACCCCTAAGGGTAGGGGGTCAGGGTCTCTGCTCTGTTTGTAGGACCAAGGACAAAGGAATGCCACGAATGAGTCCTGGGTTTTTAATGGACAAGAAAAGCTGTCATTTTCTCTCATCTCATAATCAGAACTTCTGGTGCTCTAAACACTCAAAGGTCAAAACTGCTACCTTGATTACTCTGAGCTCTAGAAACAAAAATACGGTCTATAATTCTGCTCTTGAAATGTAAAAAAGAAAAAAAATATGGCCCTAGTTTAGCAATTCACTAAGGAACTAAGCAAATAGCCTTTAGAGAAGCAGCCAGACACCACATCAACATTACTATCTCCAGTATCACCTAGACTGTGGCTCATTTTTCAATTAAATTAAGTAAATATAAATGCTATTTTCTCAGAGTTTTGCACAGTCTTGGGCCTGCTATCAAACACAAAACTTATGAATATGTTGTCAAATCAAACACTTTGAAAAGGTATCTATACAATGAAGCCAGAGCTAGGGTCAGGCCTAGAAAATATAACTTAGTTGCCTATGTAGTTTGGCTGTATTAATGAAATAACATGATTATAAAACCTTTTCGGATTCCCTTCCAATTGGCTTAAAAGCATTATCTGTTGTCGGGTAGGGGGGACTGAATAGCCATTTACTTAATGGTCCCCAATAAAATGACATAACCCAACTAATACATTCATGGTATTACTGCCCTTCCCAGACCCTTTCTTGGTAAGAGCAGGTTTTCTTTCCTGATCAGACAGCTCTGCCTGCTGCAGGAATCCCTGTTGGGAACCCAAATAAGGCAGAGGGATGAGAACTACAAAGAGTTCTTTTCTGCTTTTCCCAAGCTCCTACCTATGTGGCACACAGCCTGGGAATTCCACAGCCACCTGGTGTCTGTCACATGTGGAGGTCCCACTGCCAACACCCACTGCAGGGCTGCAGGGAAGACCCATCCCCAGGAATAACTTCTATAACCAACTATCTTTGAAGTTACTGAAAGTGGTTGGTCAGAGTGCAGTGTAGAGTGACATTTATGAAACTACACAATCGACAGACACAAAATCCCCACGCCCCCATCCCCAAAAGTCATTTATGCAGCTGGGAAAATAAACATACTCTTTCAAAGCAAAAAATATACAGATAGTGAACCCTATGGAGATCCACAATTAGCCCACGGATCACCAAAAGATGTTAATTCAATAATGCAACTCAGAGGTCCTATGCCTGGCACTACTGGAAATACAGAAAAGAATGAGCATTAAAGTAAATGCAGCTGGGGCCTGCTCTCAAGAAGCTTACCATCTAGAGGGGGAGCCAATACCTACAGCTTTCATTGCAGGCAGAATGTGGTTAGATGTCAAAACAGAGAACAAATAATAGCACTAGGCGGGTTCAGGGGAAGTTGGGGACCAGAACTGAGGGCACGGCTGCAGACGAGCCACAATTCACTAGGGGAAAAGGTGAAATGGGCTTCGAGTGTTCTAGGCACTAGTGGGAGATCCAACAGTTAAGCAAATGCTTGGTGCCACCTGATGGACATTCTCTATCACTGCAGCACAGTTCTCAGAACTGTAAGAAGCCTTTAAGACCATATTTCCTCAACTATTTTCTCTTCTCATGGACTCACTGTCTACAAACAAATGAAGTTTTCACAAGTAATTAAGTGGTCATGTCCATTTGCTACCAGGCAGAGCTTCTTATCAGGCTTGTTAAGTTCTAATCAAAAGAAAAGAAGTTTGACATTTTAAGTTCCACAGCTTTACTTCATGTAAACGTACAATTTCTATAGGTTTTAAACAACTCTCAAAGGAAGAGGACCTCCATTACCACTTTTGAGAAACCACATGGACACAGAAATTCCTAATAGGAACGACAAGGTGTGATCCTTCCACCCATGACTTTCTCACAATGTTTCAAAGAGGGGTAAAATATTATCCCTAGAAATAAGGAGAAAAGGAGAACTTAGCCACTCACTATCTCTTTTCTGATTCAGTCTGCTTTGCTTTCAGGAAGCAAACATCTTTAATCTGTCTAAAACAGACCAGTCCTATTGGGAAATTCAGAAAACCCATTGTTTCTTCTTTGAATTTAAGACTTAACTTAAAAAAAAAAAA